AGTGACTTCTTCTGTGTTCTCTCAAGTCAATGCACTTGGTGTCAGGTCCATCCATAAGTACATGAGCTTCTGCGGTTATGAACTTCTAGTTGGTGCAAAGAGGCCAACCCGTGCAAAATTTAATAAAGTCGTAATTAGGTTGAGACTAGGAGGGCCGAAAGACTTTCTCATGTGTTATCTTTCAGCCGTTTTATGAATCATTCACATCCATAACTTCTTTTTTTTTTTAAACAAATTTTTGGGTTATTTATCTTTGTTGAAGATCAAAAGTATCTTGACTGCTATGCGTTGAATTATTTATTTATCTTGTTTTCAGTTTGTATTTTCCTCATCAATGCTTATTCATAAGGTTTTTCTGTTTCGTCCATTGTTTTAAGTTTCGACTTATGGGTCGGTAATTCCGAGGTGTAAGATTTTTAAAGTTCTTGTTTAACACTCCCTATGGATATAAACCTGAATATTCTCAAGCAAATTAAAGTCCATGTAAACCGTGCAATGCTACTTCATATTTTCAAGAAAAACGATGATTCCAACATCTATCGGCCATGGCTGTCGTGGGTTCACCCGGGCTCGTGATGTCCAACATTTTAAGCATAGAGCTCATTATTGAAGCAATTGGTTACATATAGTTCACACTTGCATGATATATACGACCAATTAGTAGCATAGCATATTCCAGACACATGTAACTACTACAACATATAGTTATAGAAAGTGTTAAATGCTATTCGCGATTCTTTATTACCATGATTGTAAAGTGAAAAAAATCCTAGAAACCAAACATTTGATGACTTGGAAACTCATATCTCAGTCCATACATACTAACTAGCTCAAGAAGGTCTTCATTCTCCACATTTTTTTTTTTTTTAAATTTTTTCACTATTTTTCGAACCTATCTTTCAAGCGTGTCGTCAAGTTCAAATGTTGCAGCACTGCTGCCTGTTGAATATTGCCTCGCTAATTGAATATTGCCTGGTCGTGTCGGCTCTTGTAGTGGCTCGTCGGCCTCCAACATTTTAAGCGCGGTGCGTATTTCGGGTCTTTGATTTGGTAGCGTTTGGGTGCACAATAAGGCGACTTGAATGCACCTTAAAGCCTCTTCCTCAGGATAAGCCCTTTCAAGTCTTTCATCTACCAGATCACACACTCTCCCTTCTTTCCAAAGCTCCCATGCCTTGTTAAAATATTGAGCAAATAGATAGCAATACAAATAAGAACATCTTGTTTTTACTTGTATTATTTATCCATGCATATAAAAACTCCGAGAACAAAACTTACGTAGCCACGAAAGTCCTTGGTCTCGCCCGAAACTGATGAGTTCATTCTCCACCAATTAGTCACTCGCTTGCTTCTCACGATTTCCAAGATCACAGTCCCAAAGATGTACACGTCGGTTTTAACTGAATATTTGAAGGTCATCAAGAATTCTGGATCAATATACCCACTGCACATAGAGATGATTGTAAAAACATAAGAGTACATTAAAAAAAAAAAAAATGGTGTGTGTGGACCAGATACTTACCGGGTCCCGACTAACCCGGTGGTCTCTGATTGAGAATCACTTTCTGCTAAGGTCCTGGCAATTCCAAAGTCGGAAATTTTCGGATTCATCTCACAGTCTAGTAAGATGTTGTTTAACTTAGGGTCCCTGTGAATGACCCTGAGTCCCGAATCTTGATGGAGATACACAAGTCCTCGAGCAATCCCTTTTATGATATTGAATCGTACTTCCCATGGGAGAACATCACATTGGACTTCATCTGAGTTGAGAAGAAGTTTGAGTCAAATCAAAATGTTGCATTATGAAATTAAGTAGAGAGATTATTCAGAAATCTTATGACCTCCTATGTAAGTATCAAGGCTTCCATTCTCCATGAACTCGTAAACGAGCAGCTTTTCTTCTCGATGAATGCAATAGCCGAGTAGCTTTATGATGTTTCTATGCTGAAGATCGGGAAGGTAATGAATCTCGTTCGTGAATTCAACGAGGCCTTGTGTAGAATCATCTTCAAGCCTTTTGACTGCAACTAACTCTCCTGTGGGCAACACTCCCTTTACAGGATGATAATTTTTCATTTCAGTTACCAGTTTATTAGCATAATGTATGGTACACACAAATGAAAAAGACTATCACCTTATATACAGAGCCAAATCCACCTTGTCCGATTTTACGATTACTAGAGAACTGATTGGTGGCATCCACAATCATGTCCCAGTCGTATCTGTTCGCTCTTATGTTGGCTTTATCTGCATTTTCTCAAAAATATGTTATTGGAAATATGTTATTGTTTCTCATAAATTTGTCGACTTTTATTTTGTCCATACCCGATAACAAACTGGTTTTCTTGGGTCTGTTCCAAAGCGCATCCCACGGCCAAAGTCGTAACGGCTTTCGTTTTCTCTCATCTCTTCTTGCAGGTGGAACCTCAGTAGCAGTAACTGATTGTCTTCTCGTCTGTTCTTCACGCGAAGGTTCCAAATCCGCCACGTGTCGATCAGCCATTGGTGATTGCCCATCACTACTCGAGTTCCTTTCTTCATGTGAAGCACTCGTTACCTCACTGTCCTGCTGCTCGAGCGCTAGCTCAAGCTGGTGCACGACCTGAGCCATCGTGGGCCGACTCTTTGGATCCTCTCGCAAGCACCTCTCGGAAATCTGCACGAACGTCTTCAGACTTGCCGGCAAAATCTCCTCCTTTAGACTCGAATCCACTATCTGCTCGACTTCTCCCTTGTTTATTCTGTCAAGTGCCCATATCGTCAAAATGTGTTCTCCCTCCACCGCAGGCCGCCCGGTCAGCATTTCGAAAAGCACCACGCCGAAAGCGTACGTGTCGGTTTTCCTCGTCAGCTTGCGCGTGTGGAGGTAATGCTGGTCCATGTACCCGTTTGTGCCCTTGGCACCCGTGCTGACGTGGCTCTGCAGCTTGCTCCTGTCTTCCTGTTTGGCCAGGCCGAAATCTGAGACCTTAGCAACCAAGTTCTCGTCGAGCAGGATGTTTGTACTCTTCACGTCTCTGTGTATGATTCCGTGGCCGGTGTGGAGATAGTCGAGCCCGCGCCCTGCCCCGATGCAGATTTCGAGACGTTGCTTCCAGCTCAGCGGTGGACAGCTGCCGCTCGTCCTCCGAAGCCTGTAGAGACGGTCGGCCAGCGTGCCACCTGGCATATAGTCGTACACGAGAATCATTTCCCTGTGCTGGTTGCAGTAGCCAATTAGAGAAACTAGATTCGCGTGACGAAGCTCGGAGAGCGTCTCGATTTCCATCAGGATCTCGTGGGCCCCCTGGCTCGAGTTCGGTTTTAGCCTCTTGATTGCGACCGACTTTCGACATCCTCTGTCGATGACGATGATGCCCTTGTAGACTTTTCCGAATCCGCCCCTCCCGATTTGGAGCCCGCCGTTGAAGTCCTGTGTGGCGAATTGCATCTCGACCAGCGAAAAACGGCGGCAGAGACGTTCGGCTCTGGCGGAAGGCTGCTTGTTGTCCGGCTCCCGAGCTAAGTTATAAGCTTCCGAATTCTCGCCAAGTTTGTACGCGATGATGTTTGCTAGGGAAATTACGAGTAAGGCCGCGAACGAGGTCGAAGAAAAAATAACACGGGTGGTTTTGGACGATGGGTTTTGAGATGGTGGAGGAAAGGGATTCGGGCTTGCGAGACTATTGTCCGGGTTGGTAAGTTTGAATATTTCGAACCCGGATAGAAGTTGAAGCCCGTCTAGGGAATGTAGAGAAATCGAGAGTCGACGTTTTCCTTCTTCTTTGTGCCCCCTCATTGTCACTAGGTAGTCCTTGTAATAATACCTTCTCCTCTCGTTTCTAGGTTCGTTTGCTAAGTCGATATTCGTGAGAGCGATTGCTTCGTTGATGAGGAGTTTATAATCACTTGTCGTCCTTGCAATAATCTTGAGTCCCAATTGTGAGATATGAAGTCTGATCATGTACCTGAATCCCACATCCACCGGTACTTCCCATGTTCGGTTTTTCGCCTTTTCGGCTCTTCGCAAATCCCACATTGGAAACGTGTCGTCGTCAAGTTCTTCACTGGAACTTTCTTTGATAATATTTAGCCGGTGGACTAACTCGAGTGCCGTGTGGCGGTCTACGTGGACAGGGGACTTTCGACCCACCGCTTGAACTCCGATGTCTCCATTGTGAAAATAGGATACGTTTTCCGGCAAGGATATAATCTCGATGCCGTTCACAAACGCATATGAACCCGGTTCTGGAGCAAAACTTACATTAAACTGCTCGTTTTTATGTATGAACAAACAGAATTCTTTCGTGAAAGGTTTCAGTCCAAGGGCACGTGCAGTGAGCCAAGCGCTGAAGTTGCCGAGCAAGGTAAATGGGCCGGCTTGGACCGTGAACAAGTCCTCGAGTCCTTTGAAGCCTTTGTATTGGGCCGCGTTGAAGTGAAGGCGGAGGATTTTTGGGCCCGGGCCCACTCGGAATGCGTACACGAATCGCGAATGGGAAATTCTTGATGACCCGTAAGGTACTCGATCGCCGGATATCGACTTGCCTTAGCCGCTGAGGTTGTCGAGTGGCCTTTTATTTGCATAATCGAAGCGGATTTCGGGTTTGTCATGTCCCCAACCCATTCCCGGCCGTTCGGCGCCAGGAAAATGCCGGTCGAGCCGCAGTTAATTGATACGTCGCCTGTGAAAAGGTCTACATTATCATTATGACTGCTGTATATGGATGTTATGAGGAGATACAAAATTATTGAAGGGACTGAGAATGAGTGAATATTCATAAATCTGTTTTGTGTTGGGTTTGGGAGCTGAGGAGGAATGGTGTTTACTTAGTGAATGAATGAATTATCTGTATTCTTTTGTGTTGACTTTATTTTAGTTGATTTTCACAGGGAAGTAGGGAATGGAACTTTTGAATATGATGTGGACGTTGTTTTTTGGTAGATGTTGCCATGGTGTTTCCTCTAATAAATAAGAAACGCGTCAAGTGGCAAAAATAATTGAATATATGGGCCCTCCGAAGTTCATTTTTAGCTTCATAGATTTGACCACAGCCCCCTCACATAATAATTTCGTGAGGAATTTTAGTCATCAGATATACAATTATTGTCTATAGTTATTTTATCTGAAGGCTAAAATCCTTCCCTTACAAAATCATTTCGTGACGGGATTGTAAACAAATCTCATATTTTAACTAAATTCAGTCATTATCGGCTAATTCAACCCACCGATGGCAACAATTTATTTATTTTGATTGATAATGGCAACAATTTTGATCTCTCAGAGTTATTGGATATATATATATATATATATATGGTCACGCTTCGGTGAGAATGGTAATCAGTGAAATAAATAAGTATACACTGTATTCATTAGATCCGATCATCAAACGACTAGTATAAAACCAAAATTCTACATTGAGTAAGGGTTTTCTTTGGTAATTTCAACACCATATCAAAAGAAGTGGACCCCACCTACATTATTCCATCTGCCAACCCACGTCAACCTGTACACACATTAAACACACACATTTTTTTCTCTCTCTCACACACACATAGAGTTTTTTCTCTCTCACTCTCTGTCACACATTAAACACGCACACACAAATCGAAACACACACCTGTACACGCATCTCCCCACACACAACCCCACACGCACACCCGCCAGCGCCACAACCAGCTCCTACGCAACCGCCGCCTTTATCCGCCGCCGTCGTCCACCTGCAAGTTGTCGCCGTTTTCTTCCGCCGCAGCCACCCCTACATTTTTCGATTCCGCCCCTCACCCTCGTCACGAGTCTTCTCTTCAGGGGGACCGTTGCCAGTTTTCAGAGGTCGAGACGGCATCTCTTCCACCACCACGCACCGTCGGTTTTGCCCCTCTCTATGGTGGTTCGCCTCAATTTCTCCGGCGAATGAGACAACGAGGGCGGAGTTTCGATTTTAACCAACACCTGTCGCTCGGGCCGTCGCTCGAAGAGATATACCCTCCACCGCTGCCCGTCGCCCTTGAACAACTCCGGCCGACGCCGTGAACTCGCATTGATTCCGTCGGCTGGGGCGGTGCGGCCGGGCGGAGGTCTGCCACCGGTGATGAAATTGCACGGCTAGGGAATGAAGGAAGCGGCTGACGGCGGGGTTAGGTGGGGATAGGCAGGGGCAGCGTGCAATTGATGGATGAGAGTGATGTGTATTAGGGTCTTTATTTTGAAAATTTGACAATATCTAGGGACTTAATTGCAATTGTAGAAATTGTAGTATATTTGATTTTGATTCATAGGTTACATTTATAATTTATTGAAGTTTTAATAATTGTACAATAATATTTAGTGAAATGCATAAAAAATGCACATTAGCAATTTAAATAGTTTTGATTAATTTTAATTTAGTATATGGATCAAAATATTTCTATATTTTTTATACATATATATATATATATGTGTGTGTGTATTATGTATTTAAATTTTTTCAAGTAAAAACAATATAAAACATTAATCAAAATATTTTTGTACTAAATAATTTTGATAATATAAATAATAAATATATTTTTACATTATAAATAGCAAATTTTTTCGATTCAATTATAGTGTAGTCTATCGTTTTGGGAAAAGAAAAATTATAGTGTAGATTTGCATAAAAAAACTCAGACTGCAAAATTCACAAGGTGCACATTACTGACTACCAGACTGCACAACAGTGTTGAAACGAATGCACATTAGTTCGTTCGAGAATGCACAATACCATAACAATGTTGATTTTTACAAATAATAAAAATTTCGTTTGTTCTGTCCATATTCGACTTTATTTACATGCACAAAAACTAAATAAATAAAATAACCGGACAAGCTTTATAAAAAATATTATTTTTATATTTTGTCTATAGATATATATTATTTAGTTTAAACAAATAATAACATAAAATATTAAACAAATAATTATACATACTAAATGAAAAAATAAATAATAATTTAAAATATTATTATTTAAAAATATTAAACATTAAATTTTTAGGCTAATTAAGTTAACAAATAAAACAAACCAATTATTCTACTTCGGTTTTAATTTTGATTGGACACATCATAAAAAATGCACGTAATTCGAATGCACAATTATGTTAGACGGATTGCACATTATTGATTGACAGATTGCACAATAACGACAAAACTTGACTGAGCTAAATTTGTTTATTTGTATTTTTATATTTTGGTTCGATTTTTTATTATCTCTTTTTAAATTTTGGTTATCCCAGCTCGATGTTGGTATTTTTTTTTTTTATAATAAACGGATTAACTGCCCGAGTTATATAAAATATACATATAAAATATAGTAATTAATAATATCCAATACTATATACGTTTTATGATATAAAAATATATTATAGTTTTTAAGATTGTCTTTATATTATTTATATATAAATTATAAATTCTCAAATAATATTAATATAAAATATTAAAAGTACTAAATATATTTTAGTATGATAATAATTTATTAAAATACTAAATAATATTGCACATTAAAAATGTAATCGTATTTTTATGAATTTACATAGTTGTCGTCGTTTACACATTTAAAAATTTGTAAAATGTGTTGAATGTCAGTGTGATGTAGATAGCACAATTGCGTTAGACTAAGTGCATAGTAGTGATAATCCGAACGCACAACAGCGTAATATAAAAGAAAAAGTAATTCTATCGATTCGCCAACCAATGAACAATACTAACTGATATGACATTTAGCTAAAATTACAAACCGAATATATGATTTCATAAAGCACTAACATTTTTTTTATGTGCACGTTAACACATTTTATTGTGCAATCTATTTACTATTAATGTGCATATATTAAACTTTTAATAAATTAAAAAAGCACCGCATACTAAATTGCAAGATACTAAAAGTTGAAAATTGCATCAAAGACCTTATGAAATATCTAATTTTCACAAATAAGCCCTCATAAAAAAAAAAAAGAAGTCACGCCTATAACTTCATATCTCGCACTCAACCGCCGCCCCCGGCAGAGCCTACGGCCTGACGCTGGCCTCCCGCCGTCCTCGACTGGCCGGCCGTCATCAACAACCACAGAACTGAACAACAGCAGCGACCAAGAAAAGGCCGACGTGGACCTTGTCGGTCACCATGTACGACCGCTGGCATCGCAATCGGCGGCGAGCTCGTCCCTCATAGAGTTGGATGGTCGATGAAATCAAGGCCTCCTACGGCAGCAGTGTTGCAACAGTGGACAGTGGAGGTCACGGTGGCAGTAGGGGGCGGACCACTGGTCGCGATGTTCGACGGTTGCGGAGACGGCTGGTACATTGGCAGAGGCGGCAGATCTATGTCGTCGGCTGCTGAGGGAGGGAAGATTGTGCATATATGTAATGTGGCAGCGGGAGGTCTGGCCGGCGGCGGGAGATGGGGTAGGCGGCGCGAGGTGGGGACTGCGGTAGGCGACGGGGCTGGGTGTGGAAGAGGGTGGGGACGTGGTGGTGCAATTGTGTGTATGTGTGTGTACATAATGTGAGATCCTGCGTTGCCTCCTGTGTGTGTGTGTGTGTGTAAAATTGGGTGAGGTGTGTGTATTTGTGTGTGAGAGAGAAAGAACGGGAAGAGTTTAGGTAGAGAAGGGTGACGGGCAAGTTGGGTGTGGGACCCATGTTTGGTGGGTGATTGTGTGTAATGACTATTTTATCCATAATTAGGGACAAATGTGTACATTTGACCACAATGTGTATGCTAATTTACCACATTGTCATTAATGATTGACCAAGTTTTGACTTGATCATGACCATTGATGTGTTGGATCCAATGATACATATTTATTCTTATTTCTTTCACTATCTACCATTCTCATTGGATCCTAACTATATATATATATATATATATATATATATATATATATATATATATAGGATGTGGTTCAAATGAGAACCAAATTCTAGCGTGAGAACCGTGAGAACCGCTATTTATAGTTGCAAGTAGTGCTATGATTTATTGTGTTTTAATGCTATTTTTAACATTGATTTATTTTCTTAAAAATAGCAACACAATTTATAATAGCATTTGTGAAAATGATAGCACCATGTGATATTAAAAATAGCATCATACACAATAAAAACTAGCATCAAATACGGTTCTCACGGTTCTCACACCAGGACTAGTTTTTATTTGAACCACACACTATATATATATATATATATATATATATATATATATGTGTGTGTGTGTGTGTGTGTGTGTATGTGTGTGTGTGTGGATTTTTGGTAATTCAAAAAATCAATTTTACTTCTTGAAATCAACACTATATTTACAGTTTATTTATTTAGCCTATTGTGCTGCCTCAAATTTAAGTTAGATTGAATGTCAGTCTTGTACAATTGCAACACGTTAGATCAAATATCAGCACTCATGTACAATTGTAATAAGTAAGATTGAATATAGACATCTTTTTTATGAACACGCTCTCTCTGCAATTTTCCCCAAGATTAAAACCCCAACGCCGCTTCTTCCTCTTCTCATAGTCTCACCTCCTTCTCATCGTGCGGGCCTTTGCGTCGCGGAGATGATCGGCTCGTGGGCACTCTCAGGGCTTCTGTCAATTTTTGGTCCCAACTCACGGAGTGACTCCCTTTCCTCTGCGGGCATCTTTCGTTTGGTTGGTAGGCAATTGGTTGTTGGTGTTGGGTTTGAGCGTCGTTTGTCGTCCTTTCGGTGGCCAGTGCTAGGTTCGACAGTGTCACCTCTCTTAGAGTTCGTCTGTTTCCCTGGGGTGGGGATGGTCGGTCTCCTCCGACGGGCTGGGGAGTTGCTTGGGTATTTTTTTTATTAGGTGTTTGCTGTCGGAATTGTGTTGGGGGTGATATTAGCAGGTCTTAGAGCTGTTTTTCTTGGGGTGGCTCACTTGTAAAGAGGCTTCGACTTTGTAGATTCCGGTTGAGTTAGCCATAGCCTTCTGAGTGTCGGAGTTTGGAGTTGTGAGACATGTATACATATGATTCAATAGGGACCCTAAGGAAACATTAAATTGGGGTTCCCATATTTGGACCTAACTGTGGGTCAAGCCTACTTAGTCCAAATATGAATAATACAGTTATTCTATTAAAGTAGTATTATTGAGTTCTTTCAATTTAGTTCCCAATTTACGATATGAGCTTCACTTCTAAATTACTCGAATTAGCTCCTCATGTTTAAGATATAATGTCCATCAATTTATTTAATTACTAATAATTAAATTAATCGACTTCTTGAACTGAAGCTAGCACCGTTTAATGCATTATTATTATATTGGAATTTAATGCACCTGCAGGGTTTAAACTAATAGTCCTTCTGAACTCACTTTGGGGACATCATCAAACCTTAACTTTGTGAAGTACACGGTGACTGTAAATATTATAACAAAATATCATGTCACATAGGAATCTCTACCCAAAACATACAGTTATTGGTCCATAACAATAAACTCACTTTGCTGATTCAAAGCAGTAACTACTACATACCTGTGTTTGTTTATATCTTACGGTTAAAAGAACGCGGTAAACGAGTCCTAGTTCGTTTACGCTGATCAGTATAAAACGAACTTCTCTTCTTTGGGATCCAGACAATACACCAATTTATACTAGTGCGACTAATCAGCCAACACTGACTGTACTGTCCACACTACAACCGTTTTAATGGCTTATTCAATTTTTATCTTGTTTGTGAACCAATTGTTTATGTACCGATAAATGATATTCTGTCCATCAGAGTGTAAAGCAACATAACATAGAACTTTAATTAATCAAACATGATTTCTCATTGAACATAAATAGTGTGAATAACACCTAAAGCCAAGTTTTCAACATACACACTAACAATAATGTATAATAATGTATTATTAAATAAAATCGTTCTATAAGACTATGATTTTACGTCGGTTTTTAAAACCGATCTAAAACTGAAAAAAAAAAAGATGCATCGGTTTTTGTTTTAACCGATGCAATAGTACAACTTCGGACACCGGTTTTGTTAATAAATGATGTCATAGTAAACATGTACACAA